TGATTCCGTGGAGAGAAAAACTGTGGGAGCAAGTCCTTGAAACACTGGTCCTTCTAGAAGCATAGTCTTCACCGCTCGGTTTGTCCTTGCCTTGACAGAAGGAAGACCCCCGAGGGGCAGGCCCGGAGGTCATTGTACTCACCCTCCGAAGAACAATAGATAATGGAGGTGACCGCTGCCCACAAACATTTTCACATTGAAGTTCATTAGGAGTAGATTATACCTGTAAAGTTTACACCTTGAGCAAGCCGAAGTGTTCTGAGAGATTGCTTCCTCTCCTCGTGTCTAGATCTAGTACTACCTTTCCCGTTTGTAACTGCTGCTGCTTCTCCTCTCCAGATTACTTTGGTGCAAGTTTCACTGTTGATTACCAAATGTTTGAGTTAGAGGACAAGCTGGTGAGTGACATCAAAGAGAATCAGGATAGATAACGGTTAAAAAGAAACTGGGCAATGTTATAATGCAAGTGATTAGCAAGAACAAAAATGAGTTAAGTGAAGTGAAACTAGGTGGTGGGCCCCAAACAGACCATTTACCACAGCTGTGGAGGAGGAGGAAACCAGAATCCAGCAGGTTTGCTGAGACACTGAGAGGGCAGTGGGTAGTCCTCGATCAAGGTAATTGGTGGGTGGGATGGGTACATAATCCATGCAGACGTAAGGGGGAGGTCCCTGAGTCTGAGTATAGTGGGGGACTGTCGTGGGGGGTAGGGGGAGGTGAAGAAGAGAACTCTAGAGAATCTGTAAGAACGTTGGATGGAGGCGATAATAACTCTGTTTCCTAATCCTAATGAGGGCAGAAGAGGTTGGATAAGAAGGAAGTGGAACCAAAAGAGACTACCATTAGTCCTGAAACAGAACATGCCGTCCATCAGACACCCGTAACAGTGAAAGCAGTAACAATGGAACCGGTGAGTTAATTGGGGGATAAGGCGGGGAGGGAGATGTGACATCTCTTACCCTGGATAGCTCCCAGGGCTGGTGACATGAAGCAGAGGGAAGATTGGAATACCAGGCTTCAGTGGATGGGGGAACCAAATAACTAGTATTGCAATGCAGGTGTTCATCTCAGCTTGGCCATCACTTCTTTCCCAGAGGTTTACTGCTAACTCTGTATGCAGAATAGTGGGAAGATTTGGTGCAGTTAAATTGCAGTTCAATAGTACTTAATGTGTACGTAACCCATGCCTAACGCTGCTAAGGATGCTGCTGCTGCTGCTGAAAACGAAATCTATGGCGTCGTTACTGCAAAGTATTTATAAAACTCAAGTTTACATTTATGAAACATTTAGAACAAAATGAAAATCTTTGTAACGATGTTAAATTACATACAAATGTGAGAGCACATGTGACCTAGACAAGTGCTGCGGGCGGTGGAAGGAGACAGGTCCATACCGGAGTTGTCTGGAAAACTTAGAAGGTGATTGTGCTTAAGATCCACTTTGATGATTGGCAGTGTGTTACGAAAGGACGAAAGCAATTAGATGGAAGAATAATTAGTCCAAGAGTGAAAATCCTGCGTAGACGAGGGGATAGAGCACGTATGGCATGTTTTGTGGATGAGCTATGATTGGAGGAGAGTGTAGATGGAAAGAACAGTGGGAAATTAAAAAAATAATAACATTTAATATAAATTTAAAATATTAGGCTCTTAATATTTGCTTGGAAATTTCACATAGGGGAAGCCAGGGCAAAATTACAGAGTCTGAAGGGTCAGGCTGAAGTTTGGATGTATAAGAAATAGGGAGCCTAGTAAGTTCTTCAGGGAGGTAAAGATACAATGAAAGTGGTGTTTTAGAAAACCTATTTGTCTGGTAGTATGCAGGATGCAATGGAATGGAGACAGATTCATGAGACTTGCATCATTCCCAAAACAAATTTTTAAAGACCTGTTCTAGGGCATTTTGAATCAAGAGGAGAAAATAGATATTTTGAAGAAAATAGTTTCAGTGATAATTTCATATGAGCGCTAAATGAAGAAAGACTTAAAATAAACTATAAGTTTAAATGTGGATGTCTAGGGAAGTGATTGACCAAAATGGGAAGTGTGGGAGATTAGAGTGGTTTAGGGGTGAAGTTATAAATTTGGTATTGCCCAAGCTGAATTTCTGGTGACAACCCTATGAAGCGATGCTGAAGGAAGGGGAGGTCGGACAGGACTGCTGTTCTAAGTGCAAAGTCAGAGTTACGAAAGTCGATGAGTGCAGTAGAGCCAGTACACATGGAAGACCAAAAGGCCAAATCCTGTGCCTGTAGTTAGTAGAAACAGAAAGGGAAATCAACCAAGGAAATGGAGGAGAGTGGGTTGGAGACGTGGGCCAAGTTTGTCTCATATAGAGTCTAGAAGAGAAAGCTTAATATAGTCAATCACAAAGCTACTAAGAGGCCAAGGAGAAGAAGGTCATTAGTAACCTCCACTCTACAAAAAAAAAAAAAATGTTTTAAATGAATAGTTGGAGCAAAAGCAGGATTTGGTGGCATTAGAGAGGGGGTACATTGTGAGGAAGAGTATAGGCCAACCATTTGTGGAATCTGACACTGGAAAAAGAAACAACAGTTAGCAAGGGCAGCAGGGCCAAAGCGTAGCCCAGATATACATGAACACAGGATGTCATGAACACGGCGGATGAAATATACATGCCGAATTGAGTGGGGCTTCCCTAGTGTGGTCAGGGATGGCTGAAAGGCACAGCAGTAGGACTCCTTATAGTGCTGGGGAGGAGAGCTGGATCTTTCAAGTTCAGAGGAAAGGAAGACAAAAATTGGTGTAAAGAGATGGCTATCCTGCCATAGAGGAAGAGGGTGGTCAGAAGGGTGACACTGACCTTCTGTGGGGGGATTTCTATATTTTAGCAGAGTCCAGATGTGAACGAGGCTATATCCTGTCTGCAGAGTCCTGTTTCCCCCCTCTTGTCCTGGCTCCTTGTTCAGGGGTGGATGTATTTCATATAGAAGGTGAGTGTAGCCATTGGCCTTGGGGGAGTCTGCGAAGCAGTTTTTACCACTCTCTCTGGCTAGTGTTTTCAGCATGTTCAGCTCTCTCTCAGCTGCTTAAAAGAAGAGGGATCACATTTAGAAAAATCTTATCTGCCTGTAAGGAGGTTTAGGAGGTGTCGAGGCAGAGACTTATGTAATAAGAGTCGTTTACTTTTTCTGAACTGGGAGGGTTTCAGGACCTGAGCAGAAGCAGGTGGAATGGAGGAGAAACCCCTCGTTCTCCAGTCTGCCTTGAAGAATCAAAGCTAGTTCCAGCCTGGCAGTGGTTTAAGGCAGGGCAGGTGCCAGAGGGCAAAATGGGAAGGGCCCTACTACTGGGCAGAGTCAAGAGGCAAAGTTCAGAGGCAGAAGTGGGGGGGAGGTCGGTTTCCTAATGTAGGAGAGAGATGGGGGGGTAGGAGGAGGGGATAGAAACCTAAGGGAAGGATTTAAGTTGGGATTCTAAATAACTGTGGGGCATGAAGAGATTTAGCAGAAGGAAGGAGCGAAGAGGGGAGGGGACACATCTCCCAAGAAATCTAGCTCGGAATATGAAACCTGAGGAGTTTTCAGAGGTGGGGGCATGGAGGGGTTTCCTGAGTCTCTGACTCTGACTGGTCATTGTTTTTCCTCTCTTTGTCTTTTTAGGAGAGAAAAGGCTGCTATGACTCTTTGGGTGGGGATTTGGGGACAGGAAATTGGAAGATAAATAAATGAAATAATCTGGTTACTCTCTACTCCTTCATGAGGGTCTGTTCTAAAGCCACAACTCGAAAGAGAGCACTAGGATATGGGCGTGGGAAGGTAGCTTAGAAAGGAAGTTAGGTGACAGTAGCATCAGAGGGAATTATTAGGACTGTGAATGAACCCGAAATTTTGGGAAGAATGGAGAAGAGCACCTACAAACAACAGGTTTATTATCGACAGTCCATAATTCTAATTCTATTGCTTAATTTTGTCATATACATTGTGGAAACTGGGGAGAGTCGAAGTTTATACTTAGAACACATTTTTTTTTTAATAAAATAAGCTCATTGTTAAGCATGTAAAATATAAAAAACTACTTAGAATAGATTTTTAAAATTCACACCTTCCTCCACTTACACCCTCCACCCCCCTTCCCAACAATGTGCCTCTTCCAGTTAGTAATTAGGGCAGGCAGGGACATACTTAAAAAAAATTTTTCCCCTATCCTCGGGACTCTAGTTAGAACTGGGCTGCCCCCTTGCGGTCTCTTCGATGTCACAGCTTCAGTCAGTCTACAGTCCCTGAGCACCTATCCCCTTCTCTCCACTGTGCCATTTCAATACTGCGAGGGGCAGCGAATGGTAAAACTCTGGACTTGCCACCTTCTCTCCTTCAAAGCCTTTCGAATCTTCTCCAGAGGACAAATGAAGAAACAGAAACTGGACAAAAGCCTAAACTAGGTGATCGGGGACCCCTCTCGACTTCATTCCCTGCGCTAGGAATCACAGATTCGGGGCCCAGAGCCCGAGGAGCCTGGGTAGAAAAGTCAAGAACAACCAAGTTTGGCTTTGACCTCTAGAGTGTGGCGGGCTGGCATCTGAGCTGGTAACGTGCGTGGCGGCGGGTTATGTAAGGAACGCGCTGGAGGAGCCGCCCCAGTGGGATCCCGGGAGAGGACGCGGTGTTCTCGGCGGCAGTCCCCACCCTCCTCACCCAGCAGGGCATCAGGCACTCAACTTGTAGGAGAAGGAGGAGGGGAGGGTGAAACAGAGACCGGGGAGTCACGAGGGCCGGGCCTCCGAGAGGGGGAGATGCTGCACCGAGGCACGCATCCGTTCTCGCACACACGTTGCAGACGCAAGTCGCTGATGGTCCCACGTGCTGCCCTCGTGAGCCGAGGCGCTCCAAGAGGGGGCAGAGGGGTCCGCTCGCAAGCAGGACCCAGGAGTCCCACATCTCGAAGCGCGCGCCTCCGGTCACGCGACCAGTCTGCGCAATCCAGACTCGGTCTCCCGCGCAGCACCATCCTTTTTAAGGCCATGGGTTCCGCCCTTTTCCTCCCCTCCCTTCTTTTCCACTTTTTTTTCCATCCTCCTCCTTTCTCATCACCGGGTCCGCCTCGCGAGCCGCATGTAGGGGCGGAGAGCGGAATGCTGCCCTTCCATCCAATCGTCACCTGACTGCCTCTCATTGGCCGAGCCTCTGCATCCCGTAGCCAATGGGACCTGAACTTCGGCAACGACAGTCACGTGCCACCGGCTAGCTGGCCAATGAGGGTGCGAGGCCTGTGTACGCAGGGGGAAGGCACGTGCGGAGCCGCACGTGTCTGGGAGGGGGAAGGGGCGGGACCCAGTGGGAGAGGCGGAGGCGGGGAGCCTAGACCCGGAGAGTCGGAGCAGAAGCTGGAGACAGACGGCCGGGGCTAAGCAGATCCACACAGGTGAGGAGACCTGGAGGCCGGGGAGCGGTCCGCGCGGGAGGATCAGTCCCCCCCTCCCAAAGAGGGGGCTTAGGGACCCCTTGGTGTTGGGAGGGATCGTGTCGCGTGGCAGGGCGAGCCCGGGTCCGGAGCAGGGATCCCGATCTGGAAGACTGGGAAGAGGCGGGGGGCCCCGTGGGAGGCTGTCAGGCAGTCACCAGGTGGGTTCGGGGACCGGGGATGCAAGGCTCGCGGGCGTCGTGACCTCAGGTGGAGAGGCTCACTGCGGGATCGGGCTGGGAACAAACCAGGCGAACTGGGGAAGGTGTCAAGTCACTTATTCTGAAGTGAGGGAGGAAAGAACGGCGTTTGCAGAGGCCAGAGAGGCGGCCCAGATTCCTAATGGAGGCGGAGAGGCGAGGAAGATGGCTTTTTCTCTGGTCTCTGAGACGGGTAATATCGGGGAGGGAGAGAAAAGAGATGATTATCCCGTTGAGTACCGCCCCAAAAACGCCCCCCCCCCCCCGCCCCCAGTCTCCCAGTCCGTTTCCTAATTCTCGGGTTCTGGTTTCAAACTCCTTCGCTTTGCTCTTCAGTTGCAGGTCCGATCTTTGGGTCCTCCAGGAGCTGCTCCCCAGCCCCTGCTTCTCAACCTATGGATTCTCCATCTAGCGTTTCATCCTATTCCTCCTGCTCTCTCTCTTCCTCTTTTTCCACCTCCCCAGTGAACAGTGACTTTGGCTTCCCCTCCGATAGCGAGGGGGAGGACAAGGGGGCCCATGGCCCCAGGCCAGACACTGTTGGGCAGAGGGAAGATTCTCGGCCCAGCCCGGGTCCTATCCGCCGCAGGCAACGACCCAAGGTTTCCGGTAACCGACATACAGCATCTCACTCGGCACAGCGGGGCTTGGCTTCTCCTATGGCAGGATGTGGGGTCAAAAGATCAAGAGATGGTGAATTGGAGACCAGTCTAAACGTACAGGGTTGTACCACAGAAGGAGACCTGCTCTTTGCTCGGAAGGTAAGAGAAAGCTGGGGAAAGGAGACCCTACCGGAGTGCCTTAGCACCCAGCTGGTTGGTGAGGACCCTGCGAGGATAGTACGGGCTCCCAGGGCTGGGGGCGGGGGAAGAATTAACCAGTGCTGGTGTGGGCAGTGCTCGGTCTTCCCACAGCCTTTCTCCTGTTTTCCTCCAGTGTAAAGAGCTCCAGGGATTCATACGCCCTCTCACAGACCTGCTGAATGGCCTGAAGATGGGTCGCTTTGAGAGAGGTACTGTCTGATTAGTTGCATTTATCTGAGCTAGCTTCATAGCTCTCTTTCTCTCTCTCTCTCCTCCCCCCTTCTTCCCTTTTTTCTCTCTTTCAAAATGTTTTAAATGTGTATTTCTCTTAAGTCTTTGGGGCCTGGATGATTCCTTTATGTCTTCTGTGACTTAATTTCTTTAGGTGAACCCGTTTTAACCCGCTTCTATCCTTCCTTTACCTGACTAAATTCTTGAATCTCAATCTTTGATCTCTCTCTCTGACCCCAGGGTTGAGCAGTTTCCAGCAGAGTGTGGCAATGGACAGGATCCAGCGTATTGTAGGTGTTTTGCAGAAGCCACAGATGGGGTAAGCGCCACCACCACCCCCCCACCCCACCCCGTTCTTTCCTTCATAAAGAAGGAGATATCGCCACTCCTGTCCTGTTGCTTTTTTCACACTTAATGGCTTTTTTAAAATGTCTTTTTCACAGGGAGCGTTATCTAGGAACCCTGTTACAGGTAGAAGGGATGTTAAAGACTTGGTTTCCTCACATAGCTGCCCAGAAGTCATCACTGGGTAGTAGCAGGCACCAGCTGACCAAGGTAAGAATTTACAAACCTGAGAAAGAGGTAGAGAAATAACCAAGGAAATGAAGTACGTGCGTGCAGAAATGGGCTCCCTCTTCCATTTCCTTCTGGGTCTTTTCCCTTTTCAACAAGTTTCTTTTCAGCGAGGGGGATGCTGAAACTTCCTTTGTTGTCTTGATTCCTAGATGTTTTCTTTTTGTTGTTGTTGTCGTATTTTATTTGGATAACTCCAAAGAACTCCATAAAGTTTAATCTTACCTTTCATGTGGCAGTTTATCTGCTTTCTGCATAGATACGGAAGGCTTTTTACCTGGCCAAATGATTTATGCAGGGAGATGCCTCAGCTTCTCTCTGCAGATCCTTTCTCCTCTGCTGCCCCTAAAACATTTTCCTCTTTTTACCCCTGTCCGAATGTATTTGTACCAAACCCTCTGGAAGTGTGGGTTTCAAGGATTGATCATAAGAAGTGCATCACTGGGAGAGGTGGGGACAGCCATGGCGCACCCACAGGGGGAGTATTGGATAGAGTCTTAGACCTAGTGTGGAAGTGATCTATTCTCTGGGCCTTCAAATAATAGGGTATTTAGGGGCCACTCAAATGATGGGGAAGGGAAAGTCTCCTGTGGATAATGGACAGTAACCTTGTTTTCAGTCAACCACAGTTAGTTTTTCTATGAGAATAATCAATTTAAAAATAAGCAGTAGGATCTCGTCTGCATATTAATTTATACTTCTTAAGGCACTCAACATAGGAACTTAGGGCTTAAAATATGGAAATTGAAAAGTGGTGATTCCAATTACAAATAGACTTTTTAAAAAGAAATTATAAAATGAATTATTTTATAAGCAGGGGACTGTTTTATTTTGTGTATGTCTCGATAGCCAGTGCCTAATATAGTGTGCAAGACATAGTGGGCCCTCGGGTATTTATGGAATAAATGAAAGTATAATTCGGTTACTAGAACTTTTGCTTAATTCTGGCCTGGCAGGAAATTATCTGTTGTACAAAATAAGGTATGTTTGCATTGCAAACAGTTCTCAAGGAAAATAAAGGTTGAATCAACCAGGTAGAGTTAACCTGAAAGCTTTCTCATAATTTCTTTTCTCTTTGCTTCCCTTTCCTAGCATTTTCCAAGCCGCCACAGTTATCCAGCTGCTTCCCCTGCACCTCCCGTGGAAAAATTGGACCAGACACAGCTAGGACATCTACTATTGAAACCAAAGCGGCCTTGGCACCTCACTGAATGGCCAGCCATGAACCCCACTTGGATCCACACCACTCCGATTTGCAACCCCTGTCTCAGCTCCCCCGGTTCCGTCTCCTTTGGCAGTGGTCCTTTAGGCACTGGGACCAGCATTGGTGTCATCCTCTTCCTCCAGCACGGAGAGCAGCCCTTCACCCACTCTGCTCCGACCACTCCAGTCCCACCCACTACAGAATCTCCTGTCATCCCTGGTGACCCTAAGAAACTGTCTGGGGAGGGACCTCGTTGCCACAGTTTGCCAGTCACTCTGCCATCAGACTGGACCTGTACCCTATTCCCACCCAATCTAACCCCCACGGCCAGAGAGAGGACCATGGGACACCCAAAGCAGATGAGAAGCCATCCTCCGGGTGCTCTTGATGTCCATCCTCTCAGCCCCTAATCCAGGACTGGAGACTGTGTTTTCTAATACATGTAAATGTGTGCGTGTGCACGCGTGCGCGTGTGGGTATACACATACATATGTGTGTGTGTGTGTATATATATTTTTAAATTTCAATGTGTGCATTTGTGTTGAAGGAAGAGACGTCTTTTCTGATTAAAGAAATTTTAAACCTAAACAGCTTGCTTATTGGGGGAAATTGAAACCTTCTGCTTCGGACACCAATATTTATCCTCTGAGCTGCAGAAAACAAGAAAGGGGAAGAGAATGTTTGTGACCTTGAGCTCCACCGACTTAGAAGTAAGTCTACGTGGGAAAATATAAGTCCTGTGGGAGAGGAGGAGGGACTCTCTACTGCTGTCTTTTAAGGGAACAGTTATAAGACTCAGAGTTGGCTTTGTTTTTTCATTCAGGTTCAGAGACTAGCACCTTTCCCTTTGTGTGTCTCTTGTAATCATCCAGCAGGCCCAGAAGAGCAGGTTCTTCTGCTCCAGGATGGCTCTTTGCCTTGATGGGAGCTGTCCATGTTCATGAACAAATGCATATGTAATCTGCTGCAAGAGGAGGGACACGAGCCAGAACGGGCACGTAGTTGCCAGTTCTGAAGAGGAAGGGGCACCCTAGACTTACTAGAATGAAGAGTCTCGTTAGACACTGGGCCTCATCCTTAATCAAAAAGTTGCAGCTGCTGAATGTATGCTAGACAAAGGCTATCCAGTGTTATCAGCTGGCAAAACTGAAGTCTGTGAATTTACCTATATCTACCCTTCTCCGTACAGTATTCTTTCTGATTTGTCCCACTTTCCACCAAAATCGTGTCCTCTCCCATCCTAGCTTTGGCAGTGTATCAGTCTACTCATCATTTTAGTTATTGCTTATTGGCTACTGAGCACGTTCTCACAGCCGCTTATACATCTTTCCCCTATGCCTCAAGTCCTCTGTTCTTAGTGAATAACTGTCCCCTTTTACTTTAGAGAACATGACCTCTTCTCTAAGGCAAACCTCTTCATTTGTGCTTTCACTTCTGGAACTTTGGTCTATCACTTATCCCTTCTTTATCTATCTTGTAACTTCAATTTGTTATTGAACTACTTATTTACTTCTCATGTCTGATCAGGTGCCCCCTTCTTGAAAACTTCTCTTGAGCCTGATTGTCCTCTCTCACCTTTTCTCCATAATTCTTGATAGCAGTCTAATTATATCCTTTCTGACTCCTTTTTAGCACTCAGCCCTTAACCTCTTGCAGGCTAGCTTCCACTGCTATCACTCTACTGCCCTTTCTCAAGTCACTAACGAGCTCACAGAATCAGAGTACCATAGTGCAGCTTCTGCCCAGTCAATAGCCGGATCCAGGGGCCTTCACAAAGGCTGTGTGCTTCATGCTCTCCGTATCATTTACACTCTAGATGCTGCCTACTGAAACTCTCCTCCTGTGGATCCCATGACAGCACACTATCCTGATTCTCCTCTTACCCATCTGGCAATAACTTCCATACCTCTTGATGGCCTCTACTTCTGCCCACTCCAGAGTGTGGGTGTTCCCCTAGGCTCAGTCCTTGACCCTTTTCTCTGACTACATTCTTTCGCTCAAAGGTTCATCTCCTTTCGTGGTTCTAATTATTGCCTCAACTTAGAAGACTGCAAAAGCTTTGTGTCCAGTCACAATCCTTCCCTTGAGGTGACATATTGAATGTCCAAATTTCTGCCGGGCAGTTTTATTTACATATTAATAACACTTAAAACTTACTGCAAATTTTAGCATTTTAGAGCCAAGACGTACCGTTTGTATCTGATTCAACCCCTTCATTTTATAGATGAGAAAACTTAGCTTGTGTAGGACAAACAACGTCTGGTACAGAACTCTTGGTTTCCAGTTTGGTGCTTTTTCCAGCGCTCACCAATCGAAACATTATCTTTCCTTTAAGATGTCCTGCCTTTTTACAATCTCTTTTTCTTCTATTAGTGTTACCTATGATCAGTTTTTCCAGATAACCTGTCTTAAAACTTAGTGTCAGTCACTGAATCCTATTTATTCGGTATTTGGAATATCACTTAAAATCCATTTTAAAATCTATTCCATTTCCACCTCTCTGGCCTAAACGTTGACTATCGCAATAGTCTTTTCTACCTTGAATCCCTTCTCACATATACTTAGATTAATTTTCCTAGAACAGTGCTTTGCATGTCATTCCCTATTCAAATCCTCCAATGGCTCCCCAATGCTTCGAGATGAAAATCCAAAACGTTTAGCCAAGATCTCTGTTTATCTCTCTGCTCCCCTATGTGATCCCTCTGATCCAGTTTCCTTATTTGCCCCTGAACACTGTAAACCTTTTTGCCTCCGAATTCATTTTCGTGCTGTTCACCTTGTTCAGTCTTTCCTGCTTCTGATAACTAAACCCTACCCTTCTTCCACTGACTGACTCGAGTCCTTCTCTCAATTGTTTTCTCCATTAAACATGGTATATAGGCTCAGTCTTTGGCCCTTTACTCCATCAAATGAGATCACGCACATAAAATGACTAGTATGGGGTTTGGTATATAGCGGGCCCTCAAAAATATTACTTTTACCTTCCGTTCTTTCAAAGTATTTTTACATTTAATCTCATTTGACTCCCAGGACAAATTTTGTGTGATTGAGGGTAGATACTAGTCCCATTTTACAGGTGAAAAAAAAAAAAAAAAGACAATTTAAGTCTGGGATAAGCAAGAGCTGGATAGTAAATATTTTAGGCATTGTGGGTCATACATCTCTGTTGCAACTACCTAACTCTGCCATTGTGGCCTAAATATGGAAATTTATAATATAAACAAATATATGAACATACTAATATATAAACTAATGAGCACAGCTGTGTTCCAATAAAATTTTATTTACAAAATCAAGGGTGGAGTTGGATTTGATCTGTAGGCAGCAGTTTGCAGACTACTGGTTTAAGTGACTTGTTCAAAGCCGCATGCCTGATAAGTATCAGAATTTGGATAGAACCCAGATCTCCTGACTTCTAATCCAGTGCTCTTCCACCGTATTATGCTATTGCCTATATAATTTATTTTGGACTTAACATATGCTACCTTGTTTTATTATTTATCTTTTATGCCTACATATTGTTGGTTCTAGTGGTCCAAGAGGCACTCGGTGGTATCAAACAGTACCTGACACACAGTAGGCATTCAATAAAAGTGTGTTGATAAGCATAGAGATGTCCCAGTCTGGCTCTATTTTGGTACTGTAAACTTGGCCTACTCTGAAGCTGGCTTCAGTTTTTGTGTGTTTTATTAGCATAATTAATGAGAACGCGTCTCTGTATGTCCCTGTGTGTTTTAGGGGAAGTAGCCGAAGAACTTTATTATACAAGTACCTGGTTGGGACCTGCTTTCTTTTTTTGAGCTTTTCTCTACTATTTTCCAGTAGCCACTAGATCTGAATTTATGTGAATAACCATAAATGGATATGTAGAAGTAACATGAATAAAAGAAAAGCTGTTTCCACAGTGAGGAAGAAATAAAAAAGATATTTCTACCAGATCTCACTAGACGGTAAATGGCATAGAAACTGACGAGTCTTTCCTTCTATATCCTGCAGCTGTTTCTCAACTATTTAGTTAAATGGCTGGGAAGATGATGTTATAGGAAACTCGTGGTATATTCGTCTCGCATTTTTTCCTTGGTTTTTAGACAGATGAAGGGTATGACGGTGTTTTGCATCCAGAGAGCAGATGCGAACAGAAAACAGGCAGCATGCTCAGGAAGCTTTCCCTATTTCTCTCACTTTCCTTCCAGAAAAAGAAACGGCTTGAATAGCCAGTAAAGATTTAATAGCATTAAGGGGTAGAGAATCGAGCTGATCTCGGGAGCCTGAGGACGGCGACTCCATGAGAAGATGAGAAGCTTGTCTGCGGGAAATTTAAACCAAGAGCATTTCGCTTTGGCGGGTGTAGTCCCAGCCGGCAGGCTGTGGACCAGCGCGAGGACCGTTACCATGGTTTCCGCGTAGCGATTCTCCTTGCAGCCTGGGTCTCCCGGCGCTGCGCGGGCGAGTGCGTATTTCCGCTTCCGGTTGCGCGCGGGCTCGACGTCGGCTGGGCGCAGGGGGCGCGGGCGGACTGGCCGGTGCGGGGCCGGGCAACGAAGGCGGGTACCGCAGGAGGGCACGTTGGCGCGCGGTCACCCCCTTTCCTAAACACCCGGAAAGACTCGGTTCCCAGCGCCCACCCCAAGCACCCCTGGGGCCGGAGCGGTGATGGGGGCGGGGGTCGCGGCGCGTCCGGTCCTCTGGTGCAGGGCCGCGGAGGTCCCCGCGGTGACGCCCTGCTACCGCCCCTTTGTTCCCCCGTGGTAGGATTTGTGTCGGCAAAGAGAACGAGAGGCTCTTGATAACGATCCGCGTGTGATTTGTAGGCTATGAGGACTGTCACGTGCCCCTGTCAAGCTTATTTCTGAGCACGTTGCGAGTCCGGACGCTGAATAAGCTACGCAGCAAAGTGTGTATTGTGTTGTGTTTCTTACCTGGTCCCCGTACTTTCCTCCCGCCTTCATCATTCTTTAGGTCCTGCAGAGTGAAGACTTAATTCCAAGGTCATGGCAAAACATCTGAAGTTCATTGCCAGGACTGTGATGGTGCAGGAAGGGAACATGGAAGGTGCATACAGGACCCTAAACAGGTAACGGTTAAGGGACCACAATCACGCCCAGACCAACTCTCTTGAGAAGTGCGGGGTTATTCTCTCCCTTCCTGTCATACATTGTTCTCAAACGAGCAGCCCAGGTGTTCACCAGCTTGAAACTTCTCAGCTTCTCAGTTTACTGTCTTCAAAATGAAGTTCTTCCCAAAGCCTAACTGATTGAAGCTTGTACATCAGCACAGGGGTCCCTGAACCTTTGGCCGTGGATAGGTACTGGTACTGGTCCGTGGCCTGTTAGGAACGTGCTTCACAGCAGAAGCTGAGCGTCCTGTGAGTGAGTGAAGCTTCATCTGTATTTGCAGCGGCTCCCTAGTGCCACCATCACCGCCTCACCTCCACCTCAGATCATCAGGTGTTAGATTCTCATAGGAGAATCTAAAAGGTTGGGGCCAAAAAGGTTGGGGACTGTTGGATCAGCAGTCATCCCTTTGATGATGAATCTATCCAAGACCTCAATTAGAACCCAAAGGGAAAATCAAATTATCGAGTTGCTAGGAAGTGGGAACATGACATGATACGTAGAAAGCTGAAGGAGGGAATGGTGTGGAACAAAGCTAGTAGAAATGACAAATTCAGGTTTGGGGTCTTGGGGAAGCAAGCAAGAGGTAGAAAGGCCGTTTAAGTTTGGAGGAAGGTTACAGCATGAGCAAAAACGTAGAGCTAAAAGTGAACTGGCTGGAGCAGAGGAGCTGTATTGAAAGGTTCTGAATGCCAGGCTAAGAGATTTGGGATGTCCCTAATAAGGAATGCCTTCACTCTGGTTTCTCAAGCAAATAGTTCTTTAGCCATCCTTCGTCAGTAGTTTAAGGATTTTGATTTTCTGGTATGCTTCATTTATCATTTTCTCTGCCCAGCAAGAAGCAGAGTTTGGAGAAATAAAATGCGAGTTGGATTCTCAAAGAATTGTGTGAAAGAGATCTTAAAGAGATTATATGAGGTGGCCCTCTGCCTCAAGGCCAGTAAGGTAATAGCTTTATTTCACAAGGAAAGCTTAGGGTCACACAATTGTTGAATGGCAGAGCCTAAAACACCTTTCTAGTGCAATGTTTTTTGCTCTAAGTTACTAAATTATTTACTAGTTCCCCTGGAAATGGAGACGCCTATGGCAGTCATTTCCAGTTAAGAATTTTTATATGATTGAGTTTAAATATTGGTGAGGTTCTTGGGGACTGAGAGGGTAATGAGAGAGTACCTAGTTTTTAGCAAAGCAAAGAGTTCTAGGTGTGGAGGCCTGGATGACAGCGGACTACAGTAAATGAGGGCGAAGATAACATGAAAAGCAGTTGCAGACTCACGATGATTTGCATGTCTTTTAAAAGGATCTGGTCTGGGGCCAGCCTCATTTCCTCACTCTGTGTCAGTGCATGCCAGTCCTATCCTTGGGCAGAAGCTGTTCCCTCTGCATTTTCACTTACATTGAGAATAAAGATAGTTAAGAACTGGGTGGTAAGATACCCGATTTCATTTTTTCTGCCACTGCACATTCCCACATCTTTTATTTCAGACCTTTTAGTGGCATGTCTGTGAGAGGGTTGCGATGTCTGATGACCTTTCTCTGCTCCTATATTGGAAGCACAAAATGAATGTCTTTACGGACTGCAGTGAATTAGCTGGTGAGCTGAAATGCTGTATTTGGGGAAAGGAAGTCTTACAGATAACATCACCCTTTTTTTGACCCATCCCTGTAAGTCTTTTTCTGTGTGATTGATTATGGTGGGTTTAGATGGGCCTTCTAGTCAGGGCGATTGGGATGTTGTGCTGTTATTGACGGATGTCAGAGGGCAGCTGTTACTTGATGGTAAGAAATTCCCAAAGGCTTTCTTTTAGCTCCGCTCACCTCCTCTGTTCTTAAAGTGCAAATGACACAATAGCAAGAAGTCGACATTTAGGAGATTAGCTACTTTGTACTTTCAACAAAAACCCAAGACGATTTATGGTGTAGCATTACTTATCAAACGATTTCTTATAATTGTATCAAAAAGGTAGCTACAACTTGAATGCTTTTGACTAAATCCACAACCTGAAAATAGTTTTCTCACATAAATGAGGCAGCATAACTTAGTGGTTAAGAGCACAAAGTCTGAAGCGGACTGCCTGGTTCAGATCCCAGCTCTGCCGCTTACTAGAATGATCTCTCTGGTAAGAACTTAATGTCTCTCTGCTTCAGTGTCTTCATCTGTAAAGTGGAACTGATAATGATACGAACCTCATAGGGTTGATAGGATTAAGTTAGCATAATTAAAGTGCTTAGAGCAAAGCACGGAGTAAGCATTATGTGTTAGCTATTATCCTAATTTGGAAGTCATTGTAAGCAAGTTTTTACCTTTTTGGTTTTATTTTTTACTTACTTTGAGAGATTGAGAGCTTGCTTTAGCTGTTTTTTTCTCCTGTTTTCCTTTATTTTCAGATTATGTTCAGGGCGACTTGGAGATGAAAAAAATGAGAAAATAATTAAACTTTATTTGGTCGTGAGGATCCTACTAGTATTGAAATGACTCTTCTTATAGGCAATGATACTTTTCAACCAAGGCTCCTCCTGTTTAGCCTGTTCCTCATCTCATTTATTCCCTATGTGTGCACTGCTCTCTCATCCCCCATTTCCACTTACAACGATTTAAAACTTGAAAAACAGTATTTCTAATTTCCTGACTGAAGGACTTGATCACCTCTCCATTGATGCCAGGTCTCCAGAAAGCCTAAGGCCAACTCCCATCTCTTGAGAGAAAACTCTTCCTATGTCTTTGAGATTGTTCTAATTCACTTAGAACCAAACCTCTATATAGCTGCCTCTTCCAAAATCTGTATTTAGCCAGTGTCTTTTTTTTGTTTAATCAGCATTAGAGTTTTGCCTTTTTTGCCCTTTCTTTTTGTTTCTCATTTTATCTAAAATCCTTTTTGATCCTAGGTGCCAGCAGGTGGTAGGTGAGGGAATGATAAATAAATGGCGGATGAGGCTCGTTTGGATACCTTTTGCCACCTGGCCTGTCAGTATCTCAGACCTTGTTCTTAGGGATCTGTTTTCAAATATCTCTAAATTTCTTTCTTTTGTTCTTAATTTTTTCTGTTAAACAGCAGCCCCATACTCCTTTTAAGGGTTTCCTTTTACATACTTTTTTTCCTGGGTAGAAGTGCTAATTTTAGTCAGAACAGCAGGAGACTGGGCAGTGTGACACCATGTGGTTTCAACCCTGGCTGCCAATGAGAATCACCCCAGAGACCTTTTTAAAAAACTCTTGATGGCAGAGCCCTCCTTGAGACTAAATCAGTCTTGTGGGGTGCGGTGTCTGACCAGCAGCCTTTTAAAAAATGTCCTAGGTGATTTTAATATTCAGCCAGGATCATAGTAGTCTTCTCAAGGGCAGAGACCTATGCTTTTTCATTGGCATGTGTCTTGCATCTTCCAAAGTGTCTGGCACATAGAACGCTCTCAATAAATACCTACTTACTGAATGTAAGTGTTGTTTACCTTCTGTCAATCTCTTATTTTAGTGTTTATCAGACCTTTCCACTGAAGCATCCTTAACAGAAGATAGTGAAGGAACCACAGGCATATCTCGTCCTATGGCAGCCTCGCTTTGTTGTGCTCCACAGATGTTGCCATTTTTTTTTTTCCAACAATTCTTCAATTCTTTTTTATCTTGGAACGTTAGCTATATATCCCATAAATTGTATTTTAGCCTCAGGAAAGAAAGTGAACAAATATTTTGCTCTTAGAATAATTTTCTAGGCGGGACTTTTAAGCATGCAGATGTGAGCAAGCCGGTTCCGCAGTGTCCCAGTCTTCCTTTCTGTCAGGCACAATATTTTCTGATGCATTTTTCTTTGCGTCTTTTTCTCTGCTTCTCCTTAATGTCTTCTCTCTGGCCACCTTTTCTGTATATCTCTCTTACATTCCAGGCTTATCTTGCTCAGCTTTCTGATAGTTGCTAGTTTAAAAATAAGTTGTGTGTTCTATGGTCTAATTACAACAGTAGATAGAGAGCAAACGAGAGGGGGGTTAAAGCTTTAGGTATTTGGAGCACAGAGGTAGTCTTACAAAGGAATCAGCCTATGTGACTGCCCAGTGAGACTGCCACAGAATGTTTGTTATGTAACCGAGGGCCCTCACTGGTGCCCCGGGATGAGGAGATAGGGAGTGGGGGTTTGCTAGGAAGCCTCGCATGATTGGCTGGCCCCCATGCAAGGCAAGGCAGGCTCGCTGGAAGCGCTCCCGAGTGACCCCTTTTATTCCCTGTAAGTGAGCTTGTGGACCATTGAGTCCTGCATACACGTCGGTCTGACGTGACCGGCTGCACTGACATGTGAGTCTGCCACCTCCAACCTCCCCCAGTCCGGGCAGCCTGGTCCCTTTTACATAATCCGTTGAATTTAACTGAGACTGGCAGCTGATTTCTCCTCCAGTGTTAGTCGCCAGGAGCCTAAACTCAAGGCTGACTGTTTAAAGCTCTCGGTCTGCTAGTCCTTGAACTACTTTTGGAAGGAAGCAGAAGCATCATCAGTAACACCTTCTCTGTTTACTTCCAGAGTCCTACAAAGCTCTTCCTGCAGCCTTTTCATTAGAAATAAAAGGAGATGCCTCTGCTGTAGTGACAGGAACATTTCAGAATAATCTGTGCTTTTTTAGGATAACTAGAAAGTGCAGAGTAAGGAAGGGAATCCGCACCTGGCATCTTGGAATATGTTTAAATGATCTGTGTTCTGGAAGTAGTTAGAATGATCCAGGGAGCACCATTTAGCAACACCATCGTTATTGGGGCAGGGGGGCATCAATCTTTCCCCTCCTCCATGCTTACGTTCTTCTGTTACTTTTTTCTGTCTTGCTTTTTTTGCCTGACCACATAGGCATTTACCTGGTAAGATGATCGCTTCTATTTCAAAACCCTTTGAAACTCCAGAAAGATACCTGAGTGTATGTCTAGATTCCCTCGTCCTTTTGCATTTTCTTTCATCCTACTTTAAACTGGCTTTGTCATTCCAATCGGATCCTCTTCCTCGGTGAAGTCATATCCAGGGTCTCTGTTCTTTTTATAGTTTCTCCTCAAATCCAGTCTCCTTGTCCTTTTTATATTCCATATCCAGTCTTGTCTTTTTCTTTCAGGGACTTTTTTCTGGTTTTTCTCTTAATATACTACTGTAGTCCTAAAAGTGGCCTTCATTTAACAGCAGTGAGCGAGGTCTGGACCGAAGTCAATGCTTAGAGGTTTGATCGCTCCTTTCCCTCAGTGCGCCATGGCTTCCTGCCTTCCACCCCTTTGCTCTAACTCAGTTGCCTAGCCCGGCTCTTTTTTCCCTCATTGCCTCCTTTGCCCATGGGCACTGCAGTAATTTGGCTTCTGAACCTCAGTGGATTTTGTTAGAGAAGAGAATTCTGTCGTGGAGCACTGCACTAAAGACCTGAATTTTACTTCTAGCTCCATTTTGTGATCTCGGGAAGGTCAGCATCTCTGAACTTCAGTTTCCTAATCTATAAAAAGATGACATTACCTACTTAATCAATTTAATATGATTGTAATTAGGATAATGGACGCGAAAATGCTATCTAAAATCTAATGTGCCATCTCAGTTAGGTAATATTGTTGAGGTTTTCTGAGCCAATATTCCCAAGAACTGTGTCTGTTATAAAGTCACTTAATCCTTTGAGCTCTGGACATTTGTCAGTCACTTAGAGGATTCATTTCTATCATATTTACTGATAATTTGCTCTTTGCCCAGCATTATGTTAAAAATAAGTTAAGACTTAATCTCAAACGTGAGGAAGCACACAACCTGATAAGAGACATTTAAAAAAGAAAACACAGTTAAATATAATACTGTCTAATTGATACTTTCCAAGAGGCGTTAACAGTGTGCTATGGCAGTGGATCTCCCTCAGCCATCAGCAGCAGCAGCATCTGGGAACTGGTAAGAAATGCAAATTCTCGTCCCCCACCCTAGGCCTATGGAATCAGAAACTGGAGCTGGCACAGCAGTCTGTGTTAAGGAGTTTTCTGGGTGACTGCTGCATGCTAACGTTTGAGAACCACTGCGCTTTGGAACAAAGGGAAGGAGTGATTAATTTCACCTGGACCAGTTTACAGACATGGTAACCATTGATTTGGACCTTCATTGATTTGGACCTTTTGAAGAATAAATAGGATTTCATAAAACAAGAAGGAATGATATTCTAAGAGAATCTCACGAGCAAAGATAAAAAATAGGTAGTATGTTTGGAGAACTGCACCTACTCCAGTGAGACTAGAGCATAGGCTTTACAGGGCGAGTTATTAAAGATAAAGCTGGAGAAATAGGGTGAAGCGCCATTGTTTACAGCTTCAAGCTTAGACTAGCGGTTCCCAAATTTATCTGTACATCAGAATCACCATATTCCTCTCTCCTTGCGATTTAATTGGTCTGGATGTGGCCTAGAGGGTGGGATTTTTAAAAGCTCTCCAGGTGGTTCTAATGTGTGGACAAGTCTGGGAACTACTGGCTTAGCCTATTCTATGTATTGGGAAAGATTTTTTAGCATCAGTGACATGATCTGATTTATGTTTTAGGACAATAATTGGTGTAGGAGATGGGAAATAGGGCAACCTACTTACCTTTCACAATTCAAATAACTTTAGGAAGGCTTCATAACGTCCTTCTCATCCTCAAGTCCAGGTGAGACGCCTCTCCTGTGTGCCTCTGTAGCAACGTTTCCCTTTTCTTTGTACTTCTCTCACACTGTAATTCTTAGATAATTGTCTTTTCTGCTGGGCCTTAAAGGTAGGGAACCATGTCTAACTTTGCTTTCTATCTTTAGCATTTAACAGTCTCTGATATGGAGTTGGGATTCCATAAATACTTATTAATTAAATGACCAGTTATATGATTATTTCAGTACTCCCGGTACAGGATGATAAGGACCATCATTAGAGCTGTGGCCAAAAGAAAGGAGAGGAGGAAGAAACCTAATAACTGTTTGAGGGTTTGAAATTTAGAGGGTGTGTTAGCTGTGGATATAGGAAGTAAATGAGAAAACCTGGTGTGGGAATGAGCTCAGATTTTTAGCTTGCGTGGTGATGCCATTAACAGTACAGAGGAGGAAGAGTAGATTTTAGGAGGAGGTGATAAATTTGGTTTAATTTGGAAGCATTAGAAATATCAGCCTAGCTCTAAGGTAAGTTTGGGGCTAGAAATGAAGATTTAGGAGTCAGTGGTTTCTGGATCAGTTCTCAACTTGGCTCTAGACTTATTCGGGGTCTTTTAAAACATTCCCAGTGCATAGCACCACTCTAGACCAATTAAATCAGAATTTCTGAGGAGTGGCACCTAGGCATCAGTCCTTTTTAAAAGCCATTTAGGAGATGGTTCCATAGTGCATCAGGGTTGAGGCTCACAGGTCAAGGTTAAGGAAATCGTGTAGAACCAGAAACAAGGAGGTTTACCATTGGAATCTGGAGGGATGCCAACATTTAAGGGCAAATCGAAGAGAGCCAGCAAAGGAGACACTCTGTGGGCCGAGATGCTGAGTCTTGGTCTTTGGTGCCCTGCTCCTCCAGTGTAAGACTCCGGTGGTGGGTCCACATGACTTCTGGGCATGACCGTAGTTTCAGCAGAACCAGATGATCTGCTTCTGCTTCCGGGAGGTTGCAGCAGTTCCCACGCCTTCCATTTTCCTGCCCCTGAAACCTGGACAGACTGATCTACACAAATACGGTTCTCTAGAAGCCTACAGATCGTGTGTATATAAAATTTGTAGGGTACTAGAGAATCATATTTGTATAGATCAGCAGGAGGCCAGGAGAGGATCCCATAGGTACAGTGGTTCCCCGTCTATTCACATTTGTAATTTACCCAAAGCTCAAATCTTTTCAAGTTCAGGTTCAGTCTGTTGTTATCTTGGGCTTTGTGATGTAGCAGCAATAAATAGGGTTTCCCACTGGGCAGAAGCAGCTGGTGGTTTCTCTTATTTTTATTTCCTTCTTGTGTCCCCCTTCTTCCCATTATAACAGCCACGTCTCAACCTCCTTATCTCCGATTGTGTTTGTGACTTTTACACGTAATGAAAGGACAGGGTGAGCAAAAAAAAAACCAGGAATGGAGGGCAGCAGGTGCCTCCAGAGAGAGAGACAGATTACAGGTTGGAGCCCAAGCTTGAGCTCTCAGGGGCCTGTGGACTAGGTAAATTAGGGAATGAGCCCTGGTGGTTTCTTGGCTCAGTGAAAACAAAGCTGTGAGTTTGAAAACAAAGGCATGTTATCAGTGCCTTGCATTGCAAGGAATTGGGTGGGTAGGAAAAAAACAGATCGAGCTCAATTTTATGGACGCTTAAAGATTAATAAAACATGGTTTCTGCCTTCAGGGATTTTCAGTATAATGAGGGAGATGTTTGTATAAATAACTAATGGAATGGCAGAATGATATGATCGCTAAATAGGCTTACAATAAAATAAATGATTTTCTCTAATTGAAGATGAGAAAGCTTTATGGAGAGGTGGCCTCTGAATTTGGCATCAAAAAGATGAGGAAAATTTTCGTCAGAAGGTTGGCATCTGGGTGTCGGGTGGCATTCTGGGCTGAGGACGCAGCATGAGTAAAGCCTTGGTGGCAGAGTGTGATTGGAGCACGTGGTACGTGGAAAATGGTGGGTGAGGCTTTTGTTGAATGTCCCCATTTGTGTCATGGGTGTGACGAGGGCCTCTTCTTTCCCTGTATTAAGTAGGCCCAGAGGTTTTTCAGACCTACAGACTTCAGCTGTATCAGTTTTAAACAAAATAAGGATGGATTTACATTCTCCACTGAGGACCAAGTAGGAATTACCCCTAGTGTGGTGTGTGTCTGTGTGTGTGTGTGTGTGTGTGTGTGTGTGTGTGTGTGTGTGTATGTGTTGTTGCTACTGCAGAGACACCCCATGTGAAGATTCTGAAATGAATCTTGGTTGAGAATCAGTGCTGAGGGAGCCACTGTCCTTACGGGACTGTCAGATCCTTCGAGTGTGCTGTGGTGGAAGAAAGGTTGAGAACGTGGCCCTGGCTCTAAGCTCCCCGAGGACTAGGACTCGGTAATTAATTGCCTTTTCATTCCCTGCAAATTCCCATATGGGGCCTCTGTAAGTAGGCAGTTAATGCTCTATTGCCATCGTTCACGCCATAATTTTTACAGACACCAATTGTTTGGTCAATTGACTTCTGGCCATCTGGAATTGGAACAGAATAATGATGAGGCCAAGCTTCTGACTTCATCACCTGCCTTTGTACAGGATCCTCACGATGGATGGGCTCATCGAGGACATCAAGCGCCGGCGGTACTACGAGAAGCCTTGTCGCCGGCGACAGAGGGAAAGCTATGAAAGCTGCCGGCGGATCTACAACATGGAAATGGCTCGCAAGGTCAACTTTCTGATGCGAAAGAATCGGGCGGATCCGTGGCAGGGCTGCTGAGGCCTGTGGATGGGGGGCCCAGCGAGGACCCCGTCCAGTAGGGTCGCCACCTCTTTTCTCTCTCCAACCCCATTTTCTCTTACCTTTCTTGCAATAAACTCAATCACGGATGTAGACGACGGCCCGCATATGTGAAGCAATCCCACTGGTCAGCAGTGGACCCTCGAGGGCTTTTATTAAGTGAAAGAGGAACTGAGTCAAAAAGTAGTCTAGACATAGAGTGGCAGCTGCCAGGGGCTGTTTGGGGGGCGAGAGTGAAGGATTATTGTTTGTTGCGTACAGAGTTTGAGTTTGGGAAGATGAAAAAGTTCCAGGGTTGAATGTTGGTGTGAAATGTTCTTAATGCCACTGACTTGTACACTTAAGTGGTTAAAGTGGTAAGTTCTATATGTATTTTACTATAATTTTTTAAGTAGTCTAGGAGAGGCGAGGAAATTTTCTAAAATGTCATAGAATATCTCCTACCCAATTTTTATGAAACCCAAAGCAAGATCTGATCATTGGAAAAGCATCTGTTACTCTTTACTGAGCTCTCCTCCAACTGTTAAGTAAAAGGAGAGGAAGCAGGTATGTATTTGGAATAAATTCTTCAGCAACTCCCATCAACCAGACTCTAGTGCTGGGACCCTTGCCCCAAGGAATCCTTAACACAGATCTAGCATTCACTGCTGTTTCCTGTTTTTCCTTTAGTTTTCCTAAAGGAGGCTACTGGAGGGATGGTGGAGAAGAAATAAAGCAGTGGATGGAAGGTAGAAAAGAGGGAATGGGGGCACGTTAAGAGGTAGGAGGACACAGAGCCAGAAATACCTACAGCAGCGGTTCTCAGCGTGTGGTCTGCAACATGAAGATCACCTGAGGAATTGTTTGAAATGCAAATTCTGGGACCCTATTGTAGACCTGAATTGGAAATTGGGGTCGGAGCCCCGGAATCTAGTTTCACAAGCCCTGCAGGTGATCTGATGCCTGTCAAACAGTCATTGTCCTGTAGCACTCCAAAGAGGTTCCAGGCGGAGGTCCCCACCACCACCCCTCCCGCTCCTCAATGGGCACTCCTGGGTCTGTGATTCTTGACAGCTGGGGGCACCTGCCCGCTGCAGGAGACCAGCCACTCTGCTTCCTCTCCTGCTGTGTGTTTCCTGTTCTTTGGTTTCCTGACAGCCATGCTGCTGACATAAGGAGCATTGGTGCCAACCCCAGTAGGAGGAGAAGAGGGTAGACGGAAGCAGCTAGCCCACCTCTCCTCACCCAGGCTGCAGCCCTCAGCGTGGTGTTTCTAAAGGAAGTAAACTGCAGACTGCCGAGCCACCTACCTCTCCCCATTGCTGGTGTTCAAACATTGCCCCCTTGTGGTGTAGTAGCGTGGCTTCAGATTTTTGGGCCTTAATTTTGTCTTCAGTAGCTTTTCTCCCTTTCGCCATTACCATCCTTTTTGATTAAGCAGGCCTGCGAGAAGGTATTCTGGAACCACTGTTCCTTACTCTTAGGGCTGATCATCTTGCCTCCACTCAGCAGTAAGGCCCACACTGAATAAAGCATGAGGTGCTGCATAGAGAGATACCTTAGAGAAGATCTGGTCCTTGCCTTCTGGAAACTGACATTGTGGTTGGAGAAATTTTTACACAGTCTTCAACTTTGTTACCTTTGTACAATCTCATTTTAACAAGGTGCCAAGCAAGACCTTGGTACTTCTGAATCACCTTTCAATCTCTGAGTTTCATCTTTAATACATCACTGTTGAATAATTTTGAGTCACAGTGCGGTGTCAGTTGCCAGTTGCTGTTGCTGAGTAAAGGCCTAGCCTCTGCCAGAATGGTAGGATATGTTTGAGATAGCAGAACTGGGCCTGTAACTTGGCAGTATTCCTCTGCGGTTTAAGTTGCTTCTGAGTTCCCTTCAGAATACTAAGATCTGGAATTTACTTGGTCTCTGAAATTATCCCCTGCTTATTCTAATCTCTAGTTCTGACCATTGCCATGTGCCCCAGAGCAGCTAGACAGTTGAGAGGCTTAATGTGTAAAATGGGTAACTGGCTGATTGGCCAAAGTTCCAATCAAGTTGTGCTGTCGCGGCAGGGAGAAAGACCTTCCACTCCGTGCACTGGGAAGCTAGAATGTACCTCATGGTCACATGAATAGGGATTGCATTGGGTTCAGGAGAGGGGTGGGTTGGTATTTACCCATTTACAGGGTGATTGATGCAATACCTCCTACCTTGAGTATGGCACCTATAAATCAATTTCTTTCAGTGGTTGTACACACACACACACACACACACACACTTTGTTTATTCGTTTATCTGTCAGTGGACACTTGGGTTGCTTCCACCTTTTAGCCATTGGGAATAATGCTGCTTGCTACAAACATGAATATATCTCTTTGAGACCATGCTTTCAGTTTCTTGGGGTGTATACCCAGAAGAATTGCTGGATCATGTGCTAATTTTGTTTTTAATTTTTGAGAAACCACTGTTCTGTTTCCCATAGCAGCTTCCCCATTTTACATTCCCACTGACAGCTCACAAGAAGTCAATTTCTCCATATCCTCACCAACAGTTTTTTGTTTTTGTTTTTGTTTTTTGTTTTTTGATGGGTGAAACTAGTACCTCCTCGTAGTTTTAATTTGCATTTCCCTGATGACTAACGATGAGGAGCATCAGTTCACATATTTATCGCCCATTTGTATATCTTCTTTGGAGATATGTGTATTCAAATCCTTTGTCCATTGAATTGGGTTTTTGTTGTTACAGGAGTTCTTTCTATATCCTGGACATTAACCTGCAGATATTTTCTTCTGTGGATTATCTCTTCACTCTCTTGATAGTGTCCTTTAATGCACAAAAGTTTTAATTTTCATGAAGTCCAGTTCATCTGTTTTTTCTTTCGTTGCTTGTGTTTTGGTGTTATCCAAGAAATCATTGCCAAATTCAACGTCATGAAGATTTTCCTGTTTTCTTCTAAAGGTTTTACAGTTTTTGCTCTTAGGCTTAAGTGTTTGATCCATATTGCATTAATTTTTGTGTATGATATGAGGATAGGGTCCAAATTCATGCTTATGCATGTGGATAGCCAGTTTTCCCTGCACTATTTGTTGAGCAGACTGTCCTTTCCTCATTGAATGGTCTTGGCTTCTTTATCAAAAATCAACTGACCATATATGTGACGTTTATTTCTGGGCTCTCTCTTCTACTCTGTCAATATGTCTGCCCTTATGTCAATGACACACTGAACATGTTTTATATCTTACATTTAATCCTCATAATACTCTTTTGAAGTAAAGATTCTTACTCTTACTTTATAATAGAGGAAACAATCTCAGAAAAATTATCTGAAGGTATCCCAGTAACTGGGAGACTAAGGATTTAAATCCACCCAGTTCCAAATATTAAAAAGAAAATCAGTGCCTAGAAAAACATTTCCCTCTGGGAAGGTGAACCCAGGTGGCTACAAGCACTGAAACAAAGCAAACTTAAAACTCTGCAGAGTTGGAACTTAGGGACTCATTCAACAGATTTTCTTGAGTGAATATTAAGTGAGAAAACCGAGGTATGAATAACCTGAACAACATGTTTAAGCTCCCTTAATTTGTTCCTCAGAGCCAGACTTTATTCCATAATGTCATGCCGCATCAGAGAAGGTGGGTTTGTTGTATATTTTTCAAATTTCTTTAAAACTAGCCTTTAGATAACAATCATGTGCTGCCTGGGACATTCTAATAACCTCCCTAGAAAATAACTGCATTTTCTAGTGAGCCTACCATCTCAGAAGATATCTTGGAATTTTAGTTTCTGTGGTTTGTAATCTGATACAATGGAATTTTCATTTCCTATATTTGAAATTGTATACTTTTTCCACACTATACTTTGCCCACACACATGGTTTTCAGAATCACTGGTTTAAAGGGTCAGTAACATTTAGAGCCTCATTTTGAAGTAGGCAAATAATTCAGGCTATTCATAGAATGAGGAAAACTACTGGCAGGTCCTACTCATTTATCATACAATGAGCCTTTACTATGTCTGCACTATCCTAGGTCCTGGAGATACAACGACAATATGACATGATTCCTGCCCTCAGGGAATTTCTAGTTTTTAGGTAATAAAAAAGCAGACTTCAGCAGGTTCTGAGGCCTGCAAGATCCTCTGCTAAAAAAGATTCATTCTTTAATTCAACAAATATTTATTTAATTGTGCCAAGTGCTATTTTAGGCCTGTAAGATACGTCAGTGACAATGATTTCTGCCTTTAAGGAATTTACATTCTAGCAGGAGTCAGATGATAAGAAATCAACTTAATAAGTTAGTGATCTAGTACTAGTACAGTAGGTGGTAATAAGTACTATGGGAAAAGAAAACAAAATTAGGGGAATCAAGAGTGCCAAACAGTCTTTGGAATTAAGTAGGGTGGTCGGGGAAGGCTTCGCTGCAGTTACATTTGAATAAAAACCTGAAGAGGAGGGAGCAAACCACGCAGATATCTAGATGAAGAGCAATCTGGGCCAAAAGCACCAAGTGCAGAGGCCTTGAGCTTTGTATTGTGCTTGGCACTTTCAAGGAACAACAAGGGATTAGGATTCTTGCGTTGAATGAGTAAAGAAGAGAGTAGATGAGATCAGGGAGGTACTGGAGTGGGGCAGAACTTGGGGGGCATTTTAATCCGAGTGATAGGAAAAGCCAGGGCATGGTTTTGAGCAGGGGAGTAATGACCTTCCTGTTGTGTTAACATGAGCACTGTAGTACCTGCCATACTAGTACTAGATAAATTAAATTCATGTGACAAGGCTAGACTAACAGGAGGACAAAATGGAAGCAAGAGAAAGCAGGAGACTCAAATAACCCAGGCTAACGGTGATAGTAGTGGAGGTGGTGAGAAGCAGAAGGGTTTTGTATATATTTTGAAAGAAGGGCCAATGGAACAGAACAGTCCACGATCACTCCAAGATTAGTTGTTCTGCATAGATGTAAGACTAGAGTTGCCGTTTTCTGAGATGAAGACTGTATTGAGAGTTGGGGTTTTTTTGGGGGGTGGATTAGAATCAGGAGCTTAGCTTTCGTTATGTGAGTTGTCTTACAGATTATATAGTAGCTATAAGTGATATAAAATCTTTATAAAAATGTCAGTTATGTATTATACATCATGTAGCTTTATTGGACTCTGAGAAGCACTGTTTGAAGCGCATTACTGTCAGTCACTTTTGTGGTCCTCACAGCAGCCCTATGAGGTGGACTTCTTTACAGGTGAGGAAAGAGGGCTTAAGCACTTTGCCTAATGTCACAACTAATGAGTGGGAGACCTGGAATACAAATCTAAGCAGTCCGGCTTTAAAGCCGGTGCTCTTAATCATTGAGCAATGATTCTCAGAGGATGCCTGGCACACACTGGGCAGTCAGTAACTGCGTTAGTGAAACAGTAAAAGGCACGGGGGCTTGGGGAGCTGATATTTCAGAGTCCCCCTGTGCATGTCTTTCTTTCTGGGTGGCTGGCCTCTGGCCCAGTTAATCTAAGGGAGAAAGGTTAAGGAGACGTGGCTAACGCTAGCGATCTTGACTCTTTCGGAGGGTCGACGTCCTACCAGAAAGGCCACGTTTGGCCTGAACGCAGAAGCCCCGCACGTTAGCGCACTTACTCTCCACGCCAGGAATACTGCAAGCGGCCAATTTCTGCGACATTA